GTATCGTATCAGTATCGAAATCGACGATACTGCCTTGAAAAATATCGGTATCGTATCGAAAACAAAATAAGGGGTATCGCCCATCCCTAAATTTGATGTTCGTCGTAGGAGAAGTCACACTGCAGGACTGTGCGCCAAATCTTCGGACACTGCCAGCTTAAACCAGCTCAATCTAGCAGTCATGCTTCAAAACATACCTAACCAGCATATGCTGTTTTTTTTTACAACAGGGTGCAGTTCAGTTGCTGACAGTTCAAGAGGAATTCAGCTGAAAGCATCCAGTCTCTCACACCATTGAAGTGAATGTTCAGTTTATCAGTATATATGTAATAAATATTTGAGAAATATTTCCTACTACATTCTATACACCCTTGAGAGTTCTAGAAATTCGGTCGTAATTTTCAGCTCAGCTGTTCGATTGTCGTAAACTGTCGTAAAGAGAGCGCAGAATACGGCAGACGCGTGTGGAGCGCAGCACGTGGTCGGTGTTTTGGTCAGATAGAAGCGAATGAATCCTTGTAAGAGCTGTCCTGTGCTGATGTGGTGAATGTTACCTGTCATGGACAACAGCGGTAAAGCAGATGATGATCGGAGAGGAGTTAAGCGCAAGATGGCTTTGTCCAGGTCAGTTACTGTAGTCTAAGCATGTAAATATGGCAAAATCGCAGTGATTGTGTGTGTCTGTTTACATCTGTGTAGTATTTCTGCTAGTCTTGTCGTATATATTCGCTTGTGTAACGTTAAACTCAGCTAAAACATCTGTTTGCAGTTAGAAATGATAGATAAACCACACATTTCAGTGTTGTTTTTTATTTTGTGGATATTTCAGCTGACAGTTTTGTACATTCAGTTTACCAACATAAGCACTCCGACTGCAGAAAACTGTCGTAAAGAGAGCGCAGAAGACGGCAGACGCGTGTGGAGCGCAGCACAAGTGGTCGGTGTTTTGGTCAGAGAGTATCGAATTAATCCATGTTAAAACTCTCCTGTGTTGATGTGGTGAATATGTTACCTGTTATGGACAGCAACGATAAAGCAGATGATGGTCGGAGAGGAGTTAAGCGCAAGATGGCTTTGTCCAGGTCAGTTACTGTAGTCTAAGGATGTAAATATGGTAAAATCGCAGTGATTGTGTGTGTTTACATCTGTGTAATATTTCTGCTAGTCTTGTCGTATATATTCGCTTGTGTAACGTTAAATTCAGCTAAAACATCTGTTTACAGATAGAAACAATATCAGAAACGTATAATTCAGTACCATAGTATATTTAACGTACCATGGTATTTACCAGTCCATCGCTGCACTGTGCTGTAAACAACAGAATACTGCGCAAATGATGTTGCTATTATTTTACGCATGTTATTGTTTTCTGTATATATCAGCATTGTATCGACTCTCAGTCACTTTTTCTATTTATAATGCTAAGTTGCATATCCTCATGATAAATTGCATATGACTTTTCAGCTGTGATGTTTGTGAGACTAAAGAGGCGAAATACAGATGCCCGAGCTGCAGGAAACACACTTGCAGGTAACTCACACTCACTCACTCACGCTAGCTCGCTCGCACGCACGCACACACGCACGCACGCACGCACGCACACACACACACACTCACTCACTCACTCACTCACTCACTCACTCACTCACTCACTCACTCACTCACTCACTCACTCACTCACTCACTCACTCACTCACTCACTCACTCACTCACTCACTCACTCACTCACTCACTCACTCACTCACTCACTCACTCACTCACTCACTCACTCACTCACTCACTCACTCACTCACTCACTCACTCACTCACTCACTCACTCACTCACTCACTCACTCACTCACTCACTCACTCACTCACTCACTCACTCACTCACTCACTCACTCACTCACTCACTCACTCACTCACTCACTCACTCACTCACTCACTCACTCACTCACTCACTCACTCACTCACTCACTCACTCACTCACTCACTCACTCACTCACTCACTCACTCACTCACTCACTCACTCACTCACTCACTCACTCACTCACTCACTCACTCACTCACTCACTCACTCACTCACTCACTCACTCACTCACTCACTCACTCACTCACTCACTCACTCACTCACTCACTCACTCACTCACTCACTCACTCACTCACTCACTCACTCACTCACTCACTCACTCACTCACTCACTCACTCACTCACTCACTCACTCACTCACTCACTCACTCACTCACTCACTCACTCACTCACTCACTCACTCACTCACTCACTCACTCACTCACTCACTCACTCACTCACTCACTCACTCACTCACTCACTCACTCACTCACTCACTCACTCACTCACTCACTCACTCACTCACTCACTCACTCACTCACTCACTCACTCACTCACTCACTCACTCACTCACTCACTCACTCACTCACTCACTCACTCACTCACTCACTCACTCACTCACTCACTCACTCACTCACTCACTCACTCACTCACTCACTCACTCACTCACTCACTCACTCACTCACTCACTCACTCACTCACTCACTCACTCACTCACTCACTCACTCACTCACTCACTCACTCACTCACTCACTCACTCACTCACTCACTCACTCACTCACTCACTCACTCACTCACTCACTCACTCACTCACTCACTCACTCACTCACTCACTCACTCACTCACTCACTCACTCACTCACTCACTCACTCACTCACTCACTCACTCACTCACTCACTCACTCACTCACTCACTCACTCACTCACTCACTCACTCACTCACTCACTCACTCACTCACTCACTCACTCACTCACTCACTCACTCACTCACTCACTCACTCACTCACTCACTCACTCACTCACTCACTCACTCACTCACTCACTCACTCACTCACTCACTCACTCACTCACTCACTCACTCACTCACTCACTCACTCACTCACTCACTCACTCACTCACTCACTCACTCACTCACTCACTCACTCACTCACTCACTCACTCACTCACTCACTCACTCACTCACTCACTCACTCACTCACTCACTCACTCACTCACTCACTCACTCACTCACTCACTCACTCACTCACTCACTCACTCACTCACTCACTCACTCACTCACTCACTCACTCACTCACTCACTCACTCACTCACTCACTCACTCACTCACTCACTCACTCACTCACTCACTCACTCACTCACTCACTCACTCACTCACTCACTCACTCACTCACTCACTCACTCACTCACTCACTCACTCACTCACTCACTCACTCACTCACTCACTCACTCACTCACTCACTCACTCACTCACTCACTCACTCACTCACTCACTCACTCACTCACTCACTCACTCACTCACTCACTCACTCACTCACTCACTCACTCACTCACTCACTCACTCACTCACTCACTCACTCACTCACTCACTCACTCACTCACTCACTCACTCACTCACTCACTCACTCACTCACTCACTCACTCACTCACTCACTCACTCACTCACTCACTCACTCACTCACTCACTCACTCACTCACTCACTCACTCACTCACTCACTCACTCACTCACTCACTCACTCACTCACTCACTCACTCACTCACTCACTCACTCACTCACTCACTCACTCACTCACTCACTCACTCACTCACTCACTCACTCACTCACTCACTCACTCACTCACTCACTCACTCACTCACTCACTCACTCACTCACTCACTCACTCACTCACTCACTCACTCACTCACTCACTCACTCACTCACTCACTCACTCACTCACTCACTCACTCACTCACTCACTCACTCACTCACTCACTCACTCACTCACTCACTCACTCACTCACTCACTCACTCACTCACTCACTCACTCACTCACTCACTCACTCACTCACTCACTCACTCACTCACTCACTCACTCACTCACTCACTCACTCACTCACTCACTCACTCACTCACTCACTCACTCACTCACTCACTCACTCACTCACTCACTCACTCACTCACTCACTCACTCACTCACTCACTCACTCACTCACTCACTCACTCACTCACTCACTCACTCACTCACTCACTCACTCACTCACTCACTCACTCACTCACTCACTCACTCACTCACTCACTCACTCACTCACTCACTCACTCACTCACTCACTCACTCACTCACTCACTCACTCACTCACTCACTCACTCACTCACTCACTCACTCACTCACTCACTCACTCACTCACTCACTCACTCACTCACTCACTCACTCACTCACTCACTCACTCACTCACTCACTCACTCACTCACTCACTCACTCACTCACTCACTCACTCACTCACTCACTCACTCACTCACTCACTCACTCACTCACTCACTCACTCACTCACTCACTCACTCACTCACTCACTCACTCACTCACTCACTCACTCACTCACTCACTCACTCACTCACTCACTCACTCACTCACTCACTCACTCACTCACTCACTCACTCACTCACTCACTCACTCACTCACTCACTCACTCACTCACTCACTCACTCACTCACTCACTCACTCACTCACTCACTCACTCACTCACTCACTCACTCACTCACTCACTCACTCACTCACTCACTCACTCACTCACTCACTCACTCACTCACTCACTCACTCACTCACTCACTCACTCACTCACTCACTCACTCACTCACTCACTCACTCACTCACTCACTCACTCACTCACTCACTCACTCACTCACTCACTCACTCACTCACTCACTCACTCACTCACTCACTCACTCACTCACTCACTCACTCACTCACTCACTCACTCACTCACTCACTCACTCACTCACTCACTCACTCACTCACTCACTCACTCACTCACTCACTCACTCACTCACTCACTCACTCACTCACTCACTCACTCACTCACTCACTCACTCACTCACTCACTCACTCACTCACTCACTCACTCACTCACTCACTCACTCACTCACTCACTCACTCACTCACTCACTCACTCACTCACTCACTCACTCACTCACTCACTCACTCACTCACTCACTCACTCACTCACTCACTCACTCACTCACTCACTCACTCACTCACTCACTCACTCACTCACTCACTCACTCACTCACTCACTCACTCACTCACTCACTCACTCACTCACTCACTCACTCACTCACTCACTCACTCACTCACTCACTCACTCACTCACTCACTCACACACACTCTCACTCACACACTCTCACTCACACACACACACACACTCTCTCACACTCACACACAAAAATAAAAATACAGTGAACACACAAATGTATATACAATACTGTTCAAAGATTTATCAGTAAGATTTTAAATCTTATTTTTAATATAAATATGAATAATATAAAATGAATATAGTATTAATTTGATATCATGACTAGATATTATGATATCTAGTTATATTTCAATAGATATTTTAATAAATATAATGTATATAAGTATTCAAATTTATTATTATAAATATAATATTACTAATATCATAATGACAAAAACATATTTTTCACGTCTTATTTTTATTATCTGTGTGTTGTTGTTGTCTCTGTGTACTGGAAGCTTGTGACACTAAAACAAATTCCTTGTATGTGCAAACATACTTGGCAATAAAGCGCTTTCTGACTTCTGTATCACTGTAATCAGTGTTAGTACTGTGATCAAACCTCTTGAGTTATAAGTTTTGACAAATTAACAACATCACAACTTTCTTCAAGCGTGTATTCTGTTTTGTTTGATTATTGTTTGGTCTGCTGTAGTTTGGCCTGCGTCAAGCAGCACAAGATGGTGTCGGGATGCTGTGGTGTTCGGGACAAGACGGCGTTTATCCCTCTCGCGGAGTTTAACGAAATCAACCTGCTCAACGGTGAGTATCTGCAGCCCTCTGTACAGGAGCAGGTGAATGAGTGTGATCGCTGAGGTGTGCTGTGGTGTAGATTACAGGATCCTGGAGGACACGGCTCGACTGACACAGCAGTCCAACAGAGACCGGGTCCTGCTCCGCAGCCGCCGGCACCCGAAGGAGGTGAGAGCTGTGGATATCTACTCAATGTGTGGAATCTCAGGGGAAAACAGCATCTCCAAGGGTTAAGCCTCTCTCTTTCTGTCTATTTAAGGGCATGTGGATGATCAGAAAAGCCAGAGCTGTCAAAGTCACCCTGAGGTTTCTGCCCAAAGTGTTCAGCAAACATCGGGAGAACCGCACCATCTTCAGAAGAGCGTAAGTCTATGGGTTCATGAATATTCGTCTTTCGGTTTCATCGATTCGACAGGAAAGAGTCCCGATATCTGCACCACATTAAACTGGGGCCGAATTCAAGAAAATCTCACATTTTTTCAAGATAAATTTATAAAAATAGTGCAATTCTTGACAAATTCTTAAGTTCTCAAATATTCTCTTTTAACTCTTTCCCCGCCAGCATTTTTGAAAAAAAAAGTTGCCAGCCACCGCCAGCGTTTTTGATCATTTTCACAAAAATTTCATGGCCCCCAGAATATTTAGTTTTATGAACATATCTGAACATGCGACAGAGCCTCTACTTTTAAACAAAAAAAAAATCTGTTTCATTCTAACTTCAAGCATTCTTTTTTCTCAACACTTGAATGAAGGTGAGTTTCATAAAAAAAGCTAAATTTTGATCAAAAAGCTGAGAAAAGACTAAATCTGGATCATATTCAGTTTGATGATCAAAGCAAAGCCTTTAGACCTTCCTGGATCGCCATTTCACTCAGTAACATTAGGCAGTTTTCATTTTATATGCGGTTTATTGTTGATGATCGCATTATTTTTCATATGCATCTACTTGCATATGAGATCGCTCAGTTCTGCGTCTTCCTTGCCTGTGTTTTTGATCGGGTGATTCTGGACTCATGCAGGAGTGAAAACATGGAAACCCGGAAAATTCTGTGTTTGGCGGGGAAAGAGTTAAAAACATCTTTTTTTTCCCTTAAGTAGATAAGAAAAATGTTAATATAATTTAAATAATAATATAAATAATAATAATAATACAAATAATATTTTAATATTAATTAACATTGATTTAATATATACATATATATATATAATTATCTACTATTTAATATCTGATTATTAAAGTTCAGTGTGTATGTCGTATTTCTTCTCTTAAGAACATCTTTTTTCTTAAGAAAATTACAATTTAAAATGAAAATTGTATAATAATGATAATTTGGGTTAAAAATAATGTAATATCTATTTAATGTCTATATATATTTTTTTATATTATAACATTTAATATTAATGTAACAACATAAAATTAATACTATAACTATTATTTAATATCTAATTTTCAAAGTTCAGTGTGTGCGTCATTATGTAGCGTTTTATATATAGGTATGCAATATTTAATAATATTAATTAAGAAGAAAATGACTTTGTTGATATTTGATTGTATGGATATTTTTAAGAAATGTTTTTGGGAATACAAAATATTTTAAGTTAGAAAATAAGAGTACTTTTATTTTATTTTTGTACTTATTTTTATTTTATTTATTAATTAATATTTTATATTTTTATTTAAGAATAAAGAATTGTATTCTTTGTGTGAGTGTTTCGTGAATCCGGCCCCGGTGCATTTATGCTAAAAACATGCTGTTTTCATCCCAGTTGTCTGTAGTTCTGCATTGAGCCACATGGTGGCGCTCTTGGTAAGTGCAGTCAGTACAGTGATGTTGAGGGTTTGTGCTTTGGTCCGGTGGACCCACCCTGACGGTTTCTGATGCTGCTCAATGGGATGCTGTTATTTAATTTGTGTTTTTAGTGTGACGGCAGAGAGCTGGCAGAACAGTCTGTCAGACTGCGGGATCCTGGACCGTTCATAATTACTCTCTGTTCTCGTTTAATAAGCGTAATTAATGTCATTGAAGGGGAGAAGGTGGTTAACAGAACATGCCTCCCTTCATGACATCACCGCATTCCATATATGGAGGCAGAGTGGGCGCTGGTGATTGGCTGGCGGGGTTGCTGGGGTGCTTGTGATTGGCTGTAGTGAGCGAGGGTGGTTGGCTGATTGCTTGTGATTGGTCGAGTGAGTTCCAGGAGCACAGTGATTGGCTGAAATGGTTGCCAGGCTGCTTGTGAGTGGCTGTAGTCAGCATATGAACTAATTAAGAATGTCAAAAGTATTAGAATGTTGAAAAAACATATTAATTTGTGGGCAAATTAGAAGTGGTCTGTTGATTTATCAGTATTGTCAATGTCAGCTGTATTTATTGGCATTATATTTAGCAATATTTATAAGCTGTGTGAATAATGATGGTGATTCCTTGAGTTTGAAGCATTAAAATGGAATTTGACCATGAACTGCTGCTGCAAGATATTTGGTTTAGTTTAATTATTTGTTGTTTGCTTGCTTTATTACTGCTCTTGATCAGTTAAATTATTAACAACAAATAATCAGTGATTAATGAATCATTAACAACCCTAGTACAAACAGCCTGTATTATAATCATTAGTAACTTTTAGCCTTTCACCTGTATTGAAGAATAATCAGAGGAACGTTAATCCAGCTGGAAAAACCTTCTGTTTCCACATGTCAGGGTCATGATGTACGAATCATGCAGAAATTATGAATCACTATATTGTTGACTTCATATTTCTGATGCCATGTCCCATTTTTATAATTATTTAATGTAGCTGTTTTGGGACAAGTGACGAGCTTTCAGACTTGAAGAATAATCAGAGGAACGTTAATCCAGCTGGAAAAACCTTCTGTTTCCACATGTCAGGGTCATGATGTACGAATCATGCAGAAATTATGAATCACTATATTGTTGATTTGGAAACGAAGTCGTTGTACCGGGTTAATAAAGCAAGAACTATTGAGCAAGAACTAAGAACAATGTTTGGCATTTAAACGTTTGGCATTAAAATGTTTGGCATCAAGTGTTTTATTTAGGGCCTTTCGCACCGCGGGAACCTTTTCATAGTACCAGAACTAATTGTGGAACTACCCACTTTTTGGCGTTTTCGCACCGCCGGAACTGGGTGCGATTTTAGTACCGGACTGCCTTTTTCGAGAACCAAATTAGCTCCTACTCCGGAGCAGGGTCTAACCAGCACAACTGGTACTAATCGTGACATAAGTAGACATTGATTGGCCAAACGCATATGAAAAC